CCGCTTGTATCCGCGATCTCGTTCTTTCGGTCACTACCCACAGCTCGTGGCCATAGGTGAGGGTAGGGACGTAGATCGACCGGTAAATTGAGAGCAATATAAATCTACCTTCCTTATCTGTTATTACTTTTGTTTCAGTAAAGCTAACTGCTTTATGAATCAGAACCGACACTGCCCTACTTTTACCAGCTCCAGGACTGGAAAAGACTTTACCTGCCCAGGAACATTTAAGTTTTAAGGCTTCTGACTTACACATGTGCGTTTCTTAAATAAAGGCTATATCAACTCTTGGTAACTTTAGATATGTTAATATTTTCTTCCTCTTAATCCCGTTATTCAACCCTTTAACATTCCAGCTGGCTGTTTTGAAATCTGTCTGTCTATCAATGTTACAATGTGGAATTCCATAAAATGCTCCAATTCATAAGTATATCCATTGTAGAGGGTGGTTTTATGTGAAGATAAACCAATTTATAAATACAAGCATTCAAACTAAATAGAAACAAACTGAACAGCACAAGGGAAGCAAAACCAGAAGCACTGACATAAGACATAGACTTTCAAAGTAAAACAGGAAACATAACACAGAGGCGCTGACTTCACAAGGGGATACAGCTGACAGGATCGACCACAACCATGGACCACAGAGACAGAACCAGAAGACTAAGAACTGTAACATTGAAACAAAAGACTAGAAATGATAAATGATGACAAAATCAAAGTCCAATAATAATGTAAAACTCAAAACACTGGGACATATATATGATATAAGTGTATTGTTTATTTGTATATACCTCACCCATGATGTTGATGGGCCATTTGTATTAGTTGTAGTCATTTTAAAAGATCATCACATTAAAAACAGAAACTCAGACACTCATAGAAGATGGAACCACAGGGGGTGAAACATGCCCGCAGTGATGTTGTGGTATAATGAAGTCTCGACTCTGAGGTTTTTGTCCCAACCTCCACACAGAGAGTTTGAATTGGTGAGGGGTGGATCTGAGTGTGAAACCACAAGCTTTTATCTCAGTCATCGACGCACCCATCACATCTATCGCTGAAATAACACACACCACATTTTCATTGTTTGTTATTCTCTTTATTCATCCAACAACTAACAATCACTGGCTGCCTTGACTTGTGACAAACCGGCATTTCACAAAGAAAGAGCCGAGCACCAAGTTTTTGATGATGTAGAGATTTGGACACTGACACTGAATCAACTCCACCCTCATCAGGAGGAAGTGGCACTTTATGCTTCAGAGAAATGCTTCACATTCTGCTTTGCATCTTGTGAAACACGGTTCACACTGCAGCGAGACAATGGACCTCGTTCACAGAGCAAATGCACCAAACCGTGTGAAAACCCTGCATATCGTAGCATGCTTTAGAAACATTCAATGCAACTTTAAACGGAAGCTCCAACCAGCACCAAATTAGTCCGTGTCATCCTTCGTCTCTCAGTGTCTGTGTCAGCGGAACGGTGGTGAAAATGAGAGTTTAAAAAACAGATGCAGCTAAATGTTGAAGTACAGAGAGCAAGTCAGCTACAAACACAAAAAATAGACACAGCCTATTTGTGTCTATGTTCTGTTTCATTCTGATATTTCCACATATGTACACATATACTCTGGCTGATTGGATGGTGGCCTTCACACACCTTGAAAACTCTGTGTTAAGACAGACTCGTCTATCAGACACACACATCATTTTCAGTCTTTCAAACTGGAAATTATCACGTTAATAACAACATATGTTAAAAATGTCCGGTTGTTCTGCCCGTGCATCTTTTGTACAAACAGCGACACTCTCCAGCTCCATTTGCCATTAAAACTGTCATCAAATGCCAAAAAGACGAAAAATGCATATTTAACTGATGGCACTCTCATTTTATTATTACATAGCAGACATCCAATAATACCATTAAGGTGAATTCTTTTAAACCACACAATCAATCAATCAATTTATTTATAAGCACATTTGAAAACAACACAGGTTGGCCAAAGTGCTGTACATAGTAAAAAAGTGAAAAGTAGATCAAACACACAAAGAACAAAACAACACTCAGTAAAAATGTGTTTTCAGAAAGTGTGGGAGAGATCCTCATATGAAGATGATCCAAAGTTTGGGCGCAGCGATCGGCCCGATCTCCTCTGTGTTTTAGCCTGCTGCCAGGGACAGCTAGAAGCAACTTATCAGCTGCCTGAGTTCTGTTTGGAGTATTTTTAGTTACCAGATCAGAGAGGTATGATGGAGCTAATCCATTTAGAGATTTAAAAACAAAGCAATAAAATGTTAAAATCAATTCTACAACGTACTGGAAGCCAGTGTCAACGAGGCAAGACCGGGGAAATGTGGTTGTGTTTACGAGCGCCTGTCAAGAGTCGGGCTGCAGCGTTCTGAACCAGCTGAAGACGAGAGCAGAGCCTGGCTGATACCAAAATATTACAGGTATCAAGCCTGGATGGAGTAAATGCATGGATCACTTTCTCAAAGTCAGCAAATGACAAAATGTTCAGAATTTATTTTTTCTCAAATGAAAAACTGTCATCAAAGAACACTCGAAGATTCTTTGCAAAGGGACCTCTGGACTTTCCAGAGCACCAAGGTCAACCTTAAGAGAAGAGTGAGGCTCAGAAGGTCCAAATAGTTCAATCTCAGTTTTTTGATCATTTACATTCAAAAGATTTAATGCAAACCATGATTTAATGTCATCACCCACATGGAAAAGATATTTATAAACCTTATACAATTTGTTCCGTCTTGTGTGAAACTTGTATGAAAAGCATACAAGAGTGAAAACAGATGTAAGATCCCTTGAAAAATTATATAACGAAACTTGTATGTTTTGGATACTTACTAAAACAATGTATGAAAGTAATGAGAAAGTGGCCACTTTCATGAGTAAATCATGTAAGTTTTTACCATTTCTTTTCCATATGGGCAAGGCCGTCTAGCAAAACTTTTAGAGCCTTCATCATGAGGATGAAGAGCCACCAAACCTGACAGAAAAACTTCTATCAGTTAAATAAGATCTGAACCATGCAGTTCCTTTAATACCCACACAGCTCTCCAGTCATGATAAGAGAATCCCATGATCCACTGTATCAAATGCCGCACTTAGATCTAAAAGCACTAAAATAGCAGAGTTACCAGAGTCAGCAATTAATAAAAGATCATTAAAAACGTTTAAAAGCACAAGCTCGGTGCTATGTAGCGCTTTAAAACCAGGCTGAATGTTTCTGAGATGTCATTAATCTGGAGCTTTTTCCAGGATTTTGGACAGGAAGGGGAGTTTAGAGACAGAACTGATTGTTTTTTGGGGAAATGGGTGAATGTGTGGTGAGTGGAGGGTTGACAACAGAATTAATGATGTTGAATAAGACACAGGGCGTGTAGCTGTAGTTAGAGATGATATCTGATAAATACTTCGTTTTGCTTTTCGAACAGCATCCTGATAAAGAAACAGGGCTCCTCCTAACATATGAAAGGAAATCTGGAGTTGATCTTTTTTCCATTTTCTTTCCGCTTTCCTGCACGTCCTTCTGAGGCCCGAGTGACATCGTGTAACCAGCGATCAGTTTTAGGTCTAGTGCACTAAGGAACATCAAGAACATTTGAACTAGTGGCATTGAACAAAGTAAGCAAATGTTAATGCGCCTTCCAAGGAAGGGGCACCAATATTCTGATAAACAGCAGAGAAATGTCCAGCAGTGGCAGGAGAATATTCAATTCAATTCAATTCAATTCAATTTTATTTATATAGCGCCAAATCACAACATAAGTCGCCTCAAGGCGCTTCATAGATACAGAGAAAAAAAACCCAACAATCATATGACCCCCTATGAGCAGCACTTTGGCAACAGTGGGAAGGAAAAACTCCCTTTTAACAGGAAGAAACCTCCGGCAGAACCAGGCTCAGGGAGGGGCGGCCATTTGCTGCGGCCGGATGGGGAGAGAAAAAGAAGAAAGAATAAAGACATGCTGTGGAAGAGAGACAGAGGTTAATAACAGATATGATTTAATGCATATCTGTATATATATATCTGCTACTGCTCACTAAGAATCGCCCTAAATAAAACACTGGCCCAGCATGGAGCCCTGAATTATTATTTCAGTCTGGGACCATGTAATGAAATGTATCTGTAGTGTGTATCTGCCATCGCTCATGTCCTTTGAGACGATACTGCACACCAGCAGTCAGTACTAACAAAAACCGTGCTTCTTGTTCAGTGGCACGTTTACCTGTAGTTCGAACATGCGTAACGTGATTATTAGCAATCTACCCACCTGCTTCAACTTGCAGTTTCTCACCGTTTACCAAAATTAACTGACTGTGCAACAAATTCTCTTCCACTGTACTTCAAGTGTTCTGCATTTTACATTTGCATGTGGAAACTCAGCAGAATCCGCAGTCTGAAACCTTTGGTGAAGAAATCAGACACTAGCTGTTCACCCAGCTGTCCAGGTCGTGGTAGACTTTCCTGGCTGGTAAACTGGGATACCTGACACAGATCTGACACAGCCTTTCTCTCCAGTCACTGTAGGTTTTAATTCGGTAGGTGTTGTGCCACTCCAAGTATTTCTCATAGGCCTGCCTGTCTGCAGACAAAACCTTCAGATATGTTGCCAGATCAGCTGGGCTATTGAAATCAGCTACATGGATAAAGGAATGTGGGGGGGTCATGGCTTCGTAGGTGGCCTTGTTGGGGCCGAGAACCACTGGTACAGCCCCTGCTTGAAAAGCGTTCCTCCAGAGTTTCTCACTGATGTAGTCTTTTTTCTCAGAGTTCTCAAAAGAAAGGTAGAACAGACAGTTTGAAATGGTGGGCAAAAGCTTCTTGTCTGGCAAGGGTTTCTTGTTCCACCTGCCATACACCTCTATGGGGATATGCTTCTTTAGTCTTTGATAAAAAGCAGCCCGAGTCTGTTGAGGCTTGTATTTGCTGACCACCCAGCTGGCAAAGCAGGAGCGATTTGGAGCAGCTGGAAAACTTAGATTATCACCTCCCAGCATTGTTTGCCCATAAGGAATGGATATGTCTGCATCACGCCTGTAGCTCATCGTCCAGTTAAAGAGGCCGTTGAAATGTGTGAGTTTCACATTATTGACAGGAGGTTCCAAGGACATCCACACCCAGTGCTGAGACGTAGGTCGATCCAGGTGTAGGGGCACAGATGAAAGACCTCTGCTCAGCTCATAGTGGTGGAACACAACCACGTCGGCAGCAGAGAAGTCAGCTCTGTCATCAGTGAGTAAACAACGGCTGATGTTATACATCTTGAGGCATTTGTTCCCGTCCAGACTGTAGGAGCGGCCAAACGGCCAGTGCCACACCAGAATCCTGATGTCTCCATGAGCACCGTTGGGGTCACTCTGCAGCTCGCGGTGGGTCAAGAAGCTGTTGTAGAACAGCAGTGAGAGAAAAATGACGACATGCAAGGTGAGAATAAAGCAGGCCCTGGGACCAGATGTTGTCATGGCTGCTGGGTGTATTCCAGGTCAAAAGGCCACCGATCAATGGTATGGAACACTAAAAGGGAAGGAAGGGTAGATCAGAAATATTACTTTCACACACTCTCATCAGTGTAGGAACTGCACATGGGCAAGATGTAATCAACCAAGACAGAAACTGTGGCAGGCATGTAGCAACAGTTTCATTTTATTTTATTTTAGATCTAATATGGAAAATTGCTGTTCGTACATGACACCTGTTCAATTCAATTTTATTTATATAGCACCAAATCACAACAAAAGTCGCCTCAAGGCGCTTGTCAAAGGCATACGCAGGATAAGTGATCTTTACTCAGGGGGAGTGTTTATGTCATTTGCTGAAATAACCCGAAAATACGGTTTGATAAGAGAAAATAATTTTTGGAAATATTTACAAATAAGGGATTGTGTTACCAAAGGAAAATTTGCTCAAAGCTCGATGAGGTGGTGGAGTTTTTAGAATTGTCCAGTACAGCACATTGGGCGGCGGTTTTCTACAAACTGTTTAACAATCCAAAAAAAGAGATATGTGAAAACTTGAGGATTATATGGCAGAGGGATCTGGGTTGTGCAATTTCTAAAGAAGACTGGCGCAGAATTTTGTCATTCTCTGATAAATATATAAGAGAGGCCAGGGGTAAATTTACTCAGTATAAATTAATACACAGGTGGTACTTCACTCCATCCAAACTTTATAGAATGGGAATTAGTCCCAGTAATGTATGCTGGAAATGTAGTTCAGATCCAGGGACATTTATACATGCTATTTGGGAATGTGAAAGTTTATCCCTTTTGGCAAAAAGTATTGGACAAAATAGGAAGGTGGATTGGTTTGATGATACCCCTGTCACCAAGACTGTGCTTATTAGGGGATCAGTCAGTATTACCTGGGGTTTCAAAATATGACTTTGTGGTTATAAAGGTGGGGGTGATCGCAGCAGCTCGAGTTATTCTCAGTGTGTGGAAGGAACCGTCTCCTCCAGAATATAATAGGTGGAAAGAAACTATGCTGAAAATGGTGTCGTATGAAAAACTCTTGGCTAGGATTAATGATGATAGGGAGGGTTTTGACAAATCGTGGGGACGTGTTTTTGGCTGAGATGGTTGGAACTTATTTGGTCAGGGCAATTATCTTTAGTCATGTTGTACGCTTGCTGCACTGTTTGTTTGTGTAGGCACTCAGTAAAGGAATGACTTAAAGATTTGAGTTAACTGTCCTTTTTTTTTTTTTTTTTCTTTATTATTATTTTTTTTTTTCCTTTCCTGTTGTTGTTTGTTGGTTGTTTTGTTTGTTTTCGTGTTGTGAAATGTTAAAAACAAATAAAGACTTCAATTATAAAAAAAAAAAGTCGCCTCAAGGCACTTCATAGATACAGAGAAAAACCCAACAATCATATGACCCCTTATGAGCAGCACTTTGGTGACAGTGGGAAGGAAAAACTCCCTTTTAACAGGAAGAAACCTCCAGCAGAACCAGGCTCAGGGAGGGGCGGGGCCATCTGCTGTGATTGGTTGGGGTGAGAGAAGGAAGACAGGATAAAGACATGCTGTGGAAGAGAGACAGAGGTTAATAACAGATATGATTCAATGCAGCAGCCTACGTCTATTGCAGCATAACTAAGGGAGGATTGAGCGTCACCTGGTCCAGCCCTAACTATATGCTTTAGCAAAAAGGAAAGTTTGAAGCCTAATCTTGAAAGTAGAGATAGTGTCTGTCTCCTGAATCCAAACTGGAAGCTGGTTCCATAGAAGAGGGGCCTGAAAACTGAAGGCTCTGCCTCCCATTCTACTTTTAAATACTCTAGGAACAACAAGTAGGCCTGCAGAGCGAGAGCGAAGTGCTCTAATAGGGTGATATGGTACTACAAGGTCATTAAGATAAGATGGGGCCTGATTATTTAAGACCTTGTATGTGAGGAGCAGGATTTTGAATTCTGGATTTAACAGGAAGCCAAAACAGGAGAAATCTGCTCTCTCTTTCTAGTCCCTGTCAGGACTCTTGCTGCAGCATTTTGGATCAGCTGAAGGCTTTTCAGGGAGTTTTTAGGACTTCCTGATAATAATGAATTACAGTCGTCCAGCCTGGAAGTAATAAATGCATGAACTAGTTTTTCAGCGTCACTCTGAGACAGGATATTTCTAACTTTAGAGATGTTGCACAAATGGAAGAAAGCAGTCTTACATATTTGTTTAATATGTGTGTTGAAGGACATGTCCTGGTCAAAAATGACTCCAAGGTTCCTCACAGTGTTACTGGAGGCCAAGGTAATGCCATCCAGAGTAAGAATCTGCTTAGATATCATATTTCTAAGCTTTTCAGGGGCAGAGCTGGGTGTCATCTGCATAGCAGTGTAAATGTATGCTATGTCTTCTAATGATGCTGCCTAAGCCCATATGGAAAATATATTTATAAATCTTATAAAGTTTTTATCTGTCTTGTATGAAACTTGTATGAAAAGCATACAAGAGTGAAAACTTATATAATGAAACTTGTATGTTTTATATACTTACTAAAAAAATATATGAAAGTAATGTGAAAGTGGCCACTTTCATGAGTAAATCATATATGTTTTTACTATTTCTTTTCCATATGGGAGGGAAGCATGTATAATGTAAACAGAATTGGTCCTAGCACTGAACCCTGTGGAACTCCATAATTAACCATTAATAGATATGATACAAACCACTGCAGCACAGTACCTGTAACACCTACAGCATGTTCTAATCGCTCTAATAGGATATTATGGTCGACAGTATCGAACGCTGCACCTGTGTGTACACAACCCCTGTCATCGTTCTGCTCCTGCAGTATGTTCATTACACACACTGTAGCTGCTACAGAAATGATTTAGGTTTCAATTTTTTTAAATGCCAGCATTTCTTTTAATAATAATCAAATATTCATCGAATAATTAAAACGTCAAGGTAATTATTTCTGACTATATTTCATTCCTTTTCTGATCACTTTCATGTATTTGTTAAACAGCAGTCTACTGAAATGAAAGTGGCACAGTGACAGCTGGGAACACCACAAACATGCGTCTAAGAACAGAACAGTTTCAAGAGAGAGAAAAAGGAAACCCTTTTCCCCATTTTTCATGCATCTGAACACACAAACAGCCGTATTTCATGATTATAATAAGCAAAGACAGCCTAGCAGCTGAAAACAAATCAAAACAAGTTTGTGCTGCTTACCTGGGTACCATACCAAGCAGTCTACGGCTGGTAAAGCTTTTTCCTGCTCAATCTAAAGAACATAAAGGAAACCCTGCCTATGCCAAATCCTGTGACTCATTTCTTGCCTCACACACAGAGAGTGTGGGCGAGGGGTGTGGCTGTTAATCTGCGTGATTAATTGATCAGCCATCAGCAGAAACAAACACTATCATTTATCATGAAGTAATTTCAGATGAACACATGAGGGCAGAGCTGATGATTTATTGTATTAACATTCACCCGACTCTCAGTGTGGTGTGTTTATGCTCGCACTCAGCTGGTTTTAGAGTTACCACAGACATCTGCCACCAATACCACCCAGTTTTACACTCATTTAGGTATTTCTTAAATCACTCATGCATTCTGTTTTGCAGAACTAGCACAGCCACCAGTGGAGTCAAAAACATTGCCATTGCTGATTTTCGATTCGTAAACCACAAGCTGGTCTTCCTGTTCCTGTTCCCGTATCTCTGCAGAGAAAAGGGGCATTGGGTTACACCGCTCAATGAATGTGCCAACCACAATGTAACCGTTTCAGCCTTTTAGTGTGGCCTCCCACCAGTGCCTCTGCAGCCTCAGCTTTGACTTACACATTTAAAATTGTTTATGAAGTTGTAGTTATCAGAACCTGGTAGACTGTGCAAAAACTTCCCACAGAAGCCCAGTATTCCTGTTCAGTGATACTTTTGATCAGCTTAATTCTCTAACCCTCGCCTTGAAATGCTCTTTTTCTCTTGCTGTCACCCAAGATTCACCTTAATGCTCATATCTGCTCATGCTAAGTGATGCACAGTGTTGGGAGGTGTACATACCAAGCTCTAAATGTACTGTGTACTTTGAGTGCTGATGTGAGGCACTGTATAGGAGGCAAACAACAGGGTCCCACTGATACCATAAAGGTGTCTGAAAGCTGTATGAAACAATAACTGTTTGGATTAATTTTAGAGCTGTGCTAATAGTATAGAAGTTGTAATTCTACATTCAATTCTTCATTCAAATACACTAAGGCACCAGTTGAAAAATAAACCAGTTGAAAAAAAAAAAAAGTCAACCAGACACAATTTTTGCGACCTATTTTTCAAATCACCTTGGGAGAGGGTGAGGCATGTTTCTCATGCACATGGTAAAGACCAGAGAGTCATTAGTGAATTAGTGTGGCGGAGTGAATCAAGGGTATTGGGATGGTTTTTGAAGTTTCTTTTTAAGTTTTCTTGCTAAATTAAACAACAATGCAGACTGGTTTCGTTCTTTAGAGGAAAAATAACGGTTGCACAGGCATTCAAACGAGTCTCGCCTTGTTGTCTAATATATATATATATATATATGTCTAGCAAAACTCAAAGACAGGGCTCCTAACTAAAAGTCCAACAGGAAAAACGCACGGTGCAAAGAGGAATAGTGATCCAGAGGTCCTGATAGGAAGGGAATCCACACATCTGGAATCCAAACAACACTCTCAAACTCAGGGCAACATCTCTGCACACCCAAGGAAGGAATCCAGAGGAATCTGTGCAGAGAAAAACACACAGTAAGTTGTACTGTGAGTGCTCAGGTAGTATAGAAAAGCACTGTCTCGCTACAAGCAATTAAAGCACAAGAACTACAAACAGAGTATGTTGATATATTTTCTCTTTAACACATGTTAGAGTTAATTGGCTGAATGAGATGTGTTAAAAGTTTCACAGTCCTTTATTTACACATTGACACTGCCCACTAGCTCACAATGTTCTGCTCTGGGCTCCTTTCCTCTGCAGGTCCCACCATGTGACTCAAATAGGGGAGCCATGACCTGCAGATGATCCCCTCACACTTGCCCCTGAACCCACTACACCTTACAGTTGAGCCATAAACCACACCCACCACACCTCTTATTTTGGAATTCATTTGAGAAAGAAACCAAAAGCAAAAATAGTAACTCACACACACACACACACACACACACACACACACACACACACACACACACACACACACACACACACACACACACACACACACACA